GAGTCTGGGAAGAAGGGGAGTGTTTGGGGGATGATTATGGTAGCAATTGTACAGTTCTGCTTCACGTGGTTGATCTATGGAGTGATGTGATATATGTATTCTCAATGAATTTTTTAATTAAAAAAACTAAAAAATCAGATATTTCTAAAGATGGCATAATAAGCATAATATATGAAAAGATCAGATATGTATAATCTTATGGGGAAATTTTTTTCAATGCAAATGCTATAAAACTACGGACCAATGCTTCAGAGTCCACTTTTATCTAATCCTCTTACGTTTTGTTTTCTTTAATTTTTTAAGATACTCAGAAAAATTCAAATGAATCTATGCTAGCCTCAAAAGCTTCCACAATAATAAAAATATATGTACCCAAGTTTATTCTTTAAATTCTATCACTATATCTTGAGCAGAACATAAAATACGCTTCTTTAAATAATATTTCAGGAGATACAAGCTATTGCCTTTCTAGGAGTCTTTGTACCAAACTTTTCTCTCAAAGTTGAAATACCCTATTTACTTATTTTTGTAATAGCTTAAGATAAAATTCACATACTGTAAAACTCATCTATTTCGTATGCGAAATGGAATGGCTTTTAATATATCTACAGAGTTGTGTAGCATCACCACAATGAATTTTGGATTATTTTCATCAACCCCAAAATAGCTCTTGTTCATGCTATCTTCTGTCTCTTTGCCTCTAAAAAATTTACACTTGCCAACAGACACAGCACTAATATCTTTTTTTTTTAATATCTTCTCCTTTAAGTCTTCTCCAACATCTCAACGGGACATGACTTTTGAAAACTGTGCTGTGACTACCATTTAATTCTCCATGCAATCTGTGTTAGGAAGAGGACGGTGAGGCCATCTTGTATATTTCTAAGTATCATAAACTCAGGGTATATTTCATGAATTACATCTCCCTCTTTTTTTTTAACATGGAGACTTATAAGGGTGATTTAAAAGTAAAGCAGGAATAAGATTTCTCCCACTTTAAATAAGGAGAAAGAGTCTATGATTCTATTTGCAATGCTGCATGGGGTACAATTATTAAAGAAATAAGTCTCACTCAGTAAACACAGTCTACATGTGAACTGCACAGTATCGATGAAAATAAAGATTACATCAAATAAGAAATGCCATTCTGCTGAAAGATGAAATCATCAACCCAAGTTTTTGTGCCTAGTGATATTTTTTTTTTAATCATTTTATTGGGGGCTTGTACAATTCTTATCACAATCATCCATCCATCCATTGTGTCAAGCACATTTGTACATTTGTTGCCATCATCATTCTCAAAACATTTGCCTTCTACTTGAGCCCTTAATATCGGCTCCTCATTTTTCCCATGCCTAGTGATCTTAAACCCTTTACAAAGTAGGTAGAGTACAAAGTAGACACATAGTGAATCTGAATTAATTTTAAGAAATCTGCTCCACTTCTGGACTGTGTTGAATTGTGCACCTTCCAGGAGATGCTGTGCCTCCTGTGCGAACGGCCAGTGTCCCAAGACAGTAACACGCGAAAATGTTTCCCTGAAGGGGACCAACCTAGGATGTAAAATAGTTCTTAAATTAACTATTTGAAGCGCAGGAGGGACACATGTACTCTTACAATTTACAGCTACGGTTGCTAAGGCTATGTTGGTATTCTTTGTGGAATGACCAGAAATAATACCCAGAACACCCCTACATCTAATGGGAAGGGGGGAGGGATGGGGGAGAAGAGGAGCAGATATCAAGGGCTCAAGCAGAAAGAAAACGTTTGGGAAATAAAGATGGCAACGCATGTACAAATATGTTTGACACAATTGACATATGGAGTGTTGTAAGAGCTGTAAGAGCCCCCAGTAAAATGATTAAAAAGAAACACCTATGTCTAAGCAGATATATAAAAACATTTTTTAATGTACCAATGTCTTTTAAGAAAGCCATGGTATTAAAGGGACAATGACTGTTTCCAGCTTTCCAGTCAGTTTTGGGTTTGTTTTAAAGGAAAAAGTTTTTTCCGTAAGAGATGTAACTGGAAAAAAAAAAGAGAGACAGAGATGTAACTGACTGATTGCCACTGATACATTTTAAGCTCAAGGAGCCCGGGTGTCTCAGTAGGCTAAGCGTTGGGGGGTTAACCCAAAGGTTGGTGGTTTGAAGGCACTAGTCCCTCCACAGAAGGAAGAAGAGGCAGCCTGCTTCCATAAGGATTCACGACGTCAGAGCCCCGCTTTGGGACAGTTCTCCCACCTAGAGTGAGAACCAGCTCAAAAACAGGGGGAGGACTTCTTGTTGTTTTTTTAAGTTAACCAGAGATTTCCCATATGTGCTTCCCAAAAGACACTAAATAACAAACCCCAAAAGATATTCTTAAATAGAAATCCCATTTAGACTGCCAATAATATCATCCATATTACCTGCACGTCATAACCATCCCAGCCTCTGTTCTGACACTGTATGACTTTGGGGGTATAGGAATCACATCCGGCTGTGCCTCCAACACATTTCAACTGTGGGATGGGGTCCAGTCTGCGAGAGGTGGTGTAGCGGTCATAGTGGAGGGTGAGGGCCTTTACATCCCGCAACAACATTCTGTCTGGAACAGTACGGACACAAAGGGACAGCAGTAAGTAGCTTGCCAACATGGAAACATTCGGGCCAACAAAGTTCTTACCCCAGGAAATACTTAAAATTCAAACAGTCAACTTTTAAAGCCTCCCCACTTTGTGGCAGGGCCAGATACCTCCTACCTGCCTCTATTTTACAAATCTATGAAATTTTTGCTGAATTAGAGAAAAAAATTTCATTAACATGAAACACACTATTACGTAATAACAATGGTTAATTAAAGTGGGGGTGATTTATAAAAGTATCCATGAAACATTGTTGATACAACAAAAGAGGAATGATTTCAATGTCCATCAACAAAACAACTTAGTCTATTCAAACAATAGCACGCGCCCCCGTAGTTAAGATGCGTGAACTCAGATCCACTCAGATAAAACAGCCAAGACATTTTAAGTAAAACGCAAATTGGAGATTACGTTTCATATGGTGGCTATAAAATTAGGAAATAAAACAATCCTGCACATTACTATTGTATACTTATGTATATAATAACAATATAAAACACGCATGGAACCAAGTTCAAATCAGTATCTCGGGAAAGAGAAAGGGCAGAGACTTTAGTTCCAGTTGTAACGTCTTATGACTTTGGAGAAATCTAATTTGTAGCAAATAAGGCAAAATATGAAGAGTTAATAAGACTGGGTAGTGAGCTATTGTTCAGTGGATATTTTGAAATGTTTAAAATGTTTTAAATAACACACCTGTAAAATTTTTTAATATTCATAAGTTAAAAATCATTGGCAAAGAAGTTCAACTGCAGGAAGTCGAAACAATGAGGAGTGTTTCTATTTACCACACTTGTTTGTGGATAGACGTCATCACAGGCTGACTCATTTCAATTTCCGCTGCACCCTGGTGTGGTTTCCTGCAACGCTGAGAGTCTCAAAATCTCCTGGTCTCAGATCCCAACAGCCATTTCGGTTCTCTCAGAGGGACATGAGCAAGTTCTGAAGAGCGGACCTTGGGCTCAAGACATTGCACTGCCCTTCCACTGAAAAGCACGATCAGGGAGAAATGGGGCTTGCCTGGCACAACTCCACCATTCCATTTCTACTGCAGCTGAAGTAACAAGTACCATCTTCTGCCATTTTGTTAGTGCCCGATTACATATATTCCACCCATTCCTACTTGCAGTAGCCTGAGTTATTGCAAACTCCTGAAACATTTTAATGCATGTTTATTAAAAGGTTGGTTTTTATAAATGACAAAAATAATAGAATTCTTAACTTCTGGTTATTTCCTCCATAAATTCCACTAACCCAATTTGTCCTTTGATTTCTTGATTGCTGCTTGCATGAGAATTGAGTGTGTATACAAGCAAGATGCAGGCCTTGACAACTTCGGTCTTCTGCTTATCATGTTATCTTATTTGCCCTGCTGTGAGGATTTGGGGTTTTTTACATAAAGTTGTAATTCAGTGATTTGGGTGGGGTTGTTGTGATGTCACTTACTTAATTTCTTATTGTGTTATTTATATCTCCTCTTCCTTTGCTACCGTGTTTCCCTGAAAGTAAGACATCCCCCGAAAATAAGACCTACTAACAGTTTTGCCTCTCGCTGAAATATAAGGCATCCCCCCGAAAATAAGACCTCCCCGATAATAAGAATATCAATAATAAATGTGTACCGTATTCTTCTTTATGCAAATATTAGACATCACCTGAAAATAAGACCTAGCACGTCTTTGAGAGCAAAAACTAATGTAAGACACTGTCTTATTTTCGGGAAAACAGGGTAGATATGGCTGTGGCTTGTGGATCATATTAACCCTTCTAGTCTTTGGATTCTTTCTATACAGTTTCATTTATTTCTGCTCTCATCTTTTAATTATTTATTCTCCTCTAGTGATATAGGAACATTTTGCTGCTCTTTTTTCATTGTTGTAGGTGTGGAACCAAGGTGCTGGTTTTCATTCTTAGTTTCGGGTATGTGCATCGATCGCTATATTTAGCCCTCTGAGTACGACTTCTGCTGTGTCCCACAGGTTTTGGTGTGCTGAGTTCCCGTGTCTGAGTGCACTGTTGCAGCCACGGGATCACTTCGTCACACTGAAGGAAGGCTTCCCCTTTCCTCTACCCGTCTACTTGTACCAAGCATGAGGTCCTTTCCCAGGGACTGGTCTCCTGATCTCTGGTTTGGACACGTTTTCAGGAGAGATCAGTCCCTGGAGAAGGACATCATGCTTGGTGAAGTGGAGGGATGTGAAAGAGGAAGGCCCTGAACAACAGCGACAAATGGCTACAACAATGGGCTCAAACGTTAACTGTGAGCTTGGTGCAGGATGGGGTGGTGTTTCATTCGGTTCCAGAGGGTCACTATGAGTCGGAAGATTTAACGGCAAGTAATAATAATAACATAGGGTCGCCATGAGTTCAATCGACTCTAGGGCAGTGGTTTTGAGTTGTTTTGTTTGTTTGATGTTTAGTTTTCTGAAGAACTGAACTAACAAATTTGAAAACCTAGGGAAAAAAAATGAAAAAATTTCTATACACACATTACTTAGCTAAATTAGCACAGACTGAAGTAAAAAATATTGATATACCAATGACAAGAGAACTTAAACATTGTAAATAAAATAAATTGCAAACAATAAATAAAACTCCCAACAAAAGAGTCCTATCCTAAACAGCTTGACTGAAAAATTCTACCAAACATTCCGAGATTTCATAGCATTTCTATATAAGCTACTCTAGAAAATAAAAAAAGAAAAGAATACTCCCAAATTAGTGTTATGAAGCAAAAATAATGATAATGCAAAAGCCAGGCGAAGATAACATTTTAAAAATGCAGTTATAGATCAATATCCCTTATGAACACAGAAGCAACATTCTCAACAAAATCCTAGTCAACAGAATACAACAATACATCAGGTAGGGGAGTGAGGAAAAAAAGAGGAGCTGATACCAAAGGCTCAAGTAGAAAGAAAATGCTTTGAAAATGATGATGGCAACATATGCATACATGTAATTGAAGCAATTAATGTATGGATTGTGATAAGAGCTATTAAGAAGCCCCAATAAAATGATTTTTTTATTTTTAAAAGAATACATTACAAAAAATAGTACATCAACATAATAATATACCATGGGCAAGTGGGATTCACACCAGGCAAGTAAATATGGTCCAGTATTAGGAAAACTATCAATATAATTGACCAAGTAAATAAAACAAGGGAATCATATCACAAAATCTCATCCATCAATGCATAAAAGACATCTGCTAAGATCCAACACCCATTTCTGATAAAAAATGATCAATAAAATAGGAATAGATGGGAAATTCTTCAACATAATTAACTTTTACTCAATTGGGGGAAGGTGGAAGGAGAAAGGGGAACCGATCACAATGATGGACATATAACCACCACCGCCATCGCCAGAGGAATGAAGAACAGAAAAGTAGGTGAAGGGAGACAG